TAATAAATTTTTTATTACATTGAAAAATCAAAAGAGTACATACAGCCTTTCAGAATACAAAATAGAGGCAAATGCTTAATGTAAAGACATACTGCTTTCTCTAAATGTTCATAAAACGTTAGGAAAATGATGTAGAGGATAAGGAATCAGAAAAGATTTGATTTGCAAGAGAGAATCTGAGACCTCTCTACAACTATCAACATTTATCAAAGTTCATAGATTTTTCTGAAGGCATGTTTAGGGATTGGATGCCACTCCTGTTTCCAAAATGTCTGATGAGCAGGAGGATAAAAGGGAACAAATGTTCATATCTACACTGGAAAAAAAAAGAGAGAGTATCTGAGAGCCTTCAGTTTGAAACAGGAATTGTATTTATAGAAAACAAAACTGACAAGAAGCTAGGAGGACAGTGTAGGGTCTGCTCAACTGCCAGTGCTCCAGATTTACTGCAGTTTGAAGGTGTGAAATACAAGCATGTAAAGTATAAAGGGATATATAAAAGGGCTTTGAATTCCACAACCAGAAAGGATCAGATTGTTTACCCCAAGTGGAAATGCAGCCAGTGTTACTGAGCACTGTGTATAGAAATTGTTAAACAGGCGAGCTCTGGTGGCCTAGTGGCAGGAAACTGCACTGCAATCCCAGAGGTGCACGGTTCAAATCCACCAGATGCTCTGCTGAAGAAAGAGGAACAATCGCTTCCTGTACCAGTCAGATCCAGTTTGACGGTACATACATTAAAAAAAAAATTGTTAAACAGAAACTTAATTTGCATTAGATATTCACTTAAAGCACAATAAAAAGATTTTTTTAAAGTCTCACTAGAATGAGAGAAATAAAACTGTAAGTGGAGAATGGGAGAGAGGAAAAATGTAATGCGGACTGTGTGTCTTCCAAGATTTATATAAAAAATTCTAAAATGGGAGGTGCCTGCCTTAAAAGAAGGCACTTGAATCAAGATAGAAGAGAACAAAATAAATAGAAAGAAAGGCTGTTAGGTAAAGAAGTTACAAACTCATATTAGATACACTTTATCTTTTCAGTAAAGTCAGAGATTTGGTCAGTTGATAAAGACCTGGATAGGTTTGGAGGCTTCGGAAGTTCTAGAATAAAAATTGATTCCTAAATGACGGGGGTAAAAGGGGTAGATATATCGGAGACAATGAGATTCCCACAGGATAGAGCAGGGTTTAGGGCTGTTATAACAGCCATGGGATCACTATGAGTCGCAGGTGACTTGATGGCACATAACAACCACCACAACAACAAATGTTAAGTTGATTAAACCAACCATGTTTTGAATTACTGAACCTGGCTAAGTCATTTATTTCAGGGTCAAGAAAGTAGGTTCTTCCAAAAAGAAAAAAAGAGCGATAGTCTTTTAAGTTACTGTTGAGAACATGGGTGTCCTAGTGGCACCATTTAAAGCACTTGGTCACTAAAAAGTTGACAGTTTGACCCTCCAGCCTCTCTATGGGAGAAAGATCTATCAGTTTGTTTCCAAAAAGCCTTATAGCCTTGGATGTCCTATGGTATAGTTCTGTGTAAAGGAGTCTTAAATTTCAGAGGAGAGGATTGGACACTGGGTAGCCATGAGAGACAGAGTTTACTGCAATTGTTTTCAACAGTTGTATCACAGTTCATGTAGTTTTTAAAAATACTGGTGCCTAAGATGTCATGGTACATTAATTCAGTCATCCAAACTTTTATGGGTATGTCTTTAGAAGTCTGTGCAATCACATTTGCGCAGCAGCACATACATTAAGTGAAAAGTAGAGATGATTCACAGGAAAATTTCAGAACTTCAGAGAGTTAGAAAAAAGGTAGAATACATTCACACAAGGACCTTGTTTGTGTCACTGAATTATAAGATTGAAGCTTCTCTGCATTTGTGATCCCTATGCAGAAGTGGTCTAGGAAGAAGTATCTTCTATAATAAATGTTTGATAAACTTGTTAGTGTAGTGGTTAAAAACACTAGGCTGCTAACCAAAAGGTTAACCATTTGAACCCACTCTCTGCTCCTTTCCTGTCTTTTCCAGGCCTGTCTTAGATATGGAGCTCTGGTGGCTTAGAGGGTAAAGAGTTGTGCTGCCAGGAGGTTTGAATCCACCAGCTGCTCTGAGAGAGAAAGATGAGCATTCTCCACTTATGTGATATATGTTGTTCTTGTTGTTGTTGTTGTTATGTGCCGTCGAGTTGTTTCCGACTCATAGCGACCCTATGCACAACAGCCCTAAACCCTGCTCTGTCCTGCGCCAACCGCACTGCCTCTGGCACACCCATCCCGATTACCCCAGTCACTGAATCGATCCATCTCATAGAGGGTCTTCCCCTCCTGCGCCGTCCCTCCACCCTCCCAAGCATGA